AGGAGAGAATCACTATAACTTAGATACTGTTGTTTTAAAAAAACCCCAAACTGAAATAACTTTTCTATTTTAGAAAAATATATTCATTTTGGAGCCCCAGTGGCACACAATATTTTATCCGAGCACATTTGTGGCCAATAAAGGAATCTAGACAGTCCCACGGAGTGTGTTCACTGCCAAGGGCAAAACTATAGTGTAATATTGACAAAGGGCCAAGACACATTACAACATCTCTTCCTGCTTCTCCCTCCTCTTAATTCTCTGCGACCTCCACCACTAGCATAAATTGCCTGTCAAACCCAGGGAAGCAGTTGAGCAAGAGCCCAGACATAAAATTTCAATGAACACTTCTTACAGTCAAACCTACCTGGATGCAGCAACTGGCCTAGGATGGAATTTTAATATGTGTTCCTTGAATTAACAAAGGAATTAATGAATGAATGAAAAGGCATAAGAAAAAATGAGATCAAAGGCAACCAAGAAATCAGTGTAAATCAATTCTCATAGCAGGACAAAAAGGCTGAAAGTAAAAACTAAAAGCTTGGCATTGATGCAGAAGTACTGTAGTAGCTACTCCATAAATGATAATTAAATTGAAAATATCTTTTAGAATGCAGACCCAGATGAAGCAAATTTATTCAAAATCCTAGGTCATCTTTCAAAAATTTGTCTAATAGTAAGATTCACTTGCTGGTTTAGAATCCCATCCCCTCCACTTCTTTTTATTTATTTTTCATTTTTATTATTTCTGTGTGTGTATACCGTCAAATTGGATCTGACTGGTACAGGACGAGATTGCCCTTCTTTCACTAGCAGAGCATCTGGTGGATTTGAACCGTGTACCTCTGGGATTGCAGTGCAGTTTCTTGTCACTAGGCCACCAGACCTCCCTTCCACTTCTTTTTCTTAAAAGTACAAATCTACAGATCCTTGCCATGGAGATTCTATTTCAGTAAGGTCTGAAAATCTGTATTGCAAAATTTCTAAATACTCTAAGGGCAAGGTGTTAATAATTTGCTATTTTTTCATTTAATTTAGTGGTGTTTGATCACTTCATTCATTAATTTGCTCATTCAATAAGCATAGAATGAGTTTCTATTGTATATCATGCATAGAGTAAAGCACTAGTTCATAAAGTATAAACAATAAATAAAATGTCTCTGTACATTTTTCCTAGTCTAATAATTCTTCCAAGTTAAATAATATAATATCTATTTTTTAAATTTTTTTAAATTGAGATTTTATTGTACGTTTATAAAGAACTTGGATTTCTATTAATTCACTGTTGCACATTTTTCTCCCTGCCCTCTCTCCCTGCAGTTCACTTTTTTGTTTGGAAAAAAGTTCTTTCATTGTTATACAGTTCCCTCATCCCCACTTCCAGACCACTTTACTATGCAGCTCTTATTCTAGACTCTTGTCATACCAATAGTACCTAATCACATATTCCTTTTATACAGTTCTCTCCCTCATTTGTTTCAATGCCATGTACATTATTTATTCCCTATTTTCTTAGTTTTCCCCTAACCCCCATATCAGTACTGTTTTATAACAGTGGCATTAATGCAATATTTGTCTTTTTGTGACTGAGATATTTCACTCAGCATAATGTCCTCCGAGGTCACCCATTTTGTAGAATAGTTCTCTGTTTTTCAGTACTGCATAATATTACACTGTGTGAATACACGGCACCTTCTCTATCCATTTGTTTTTTGATGGGCACTTGGGTTGTTTACAATTCTTTGCTATTGAGACCAAAGCAGCAATATACATGGATGTGCATATATCTGCTTGGGTGGCAGTTCTGGTTTCTTTAGGGTATATTCCCAGTAGTGGAATTGCTGGGTCAAATGGTATTTCTATTT